GTAAATACAAGTAAGAAGATATTAGTTCATCAAGAGTAGTCATATCTTCAAGAGTACATTGAAGTAATTCTTGATTGGAGGCATTAATTAATTCCGCTGCCTAACTATTTTGTATTCAAATGTTCAGCATGATATTTATTCGTGGCTGCGGTATATCACTGGCTTCAAGAATCAATATAATAGTTTTTTGTTTTATTATCACAATTCCTAAATATGCCGTATTAGTAATTGATATGGCTACATCGGCGTAGTTATAAAAAGAAAGTAGACATAAATCGCACAATTATAATTATATCGATGTAGTCGATTATTTTTCGACATATTGCTAATGTTTGTTGAAGAAATTCTGCTGTAAAAAATTGTACGAAAATTTTATATCGCCTGATCAGAAGTGTCGATCGAAAGTAAAATTACATTTTAATTCCATTGTTAAATGTGAAAATAAGAAATCTAGGTGATAGGAAGTTTTTTATTCGTAAGTTTGTAGTGCTCTGACGCTTGCCTTTTGGGAGTCGTGACCTCAACCCGCAAAATCCCTTGTAGCATAATATACTATTTTCCGGAGCACGTCTAAAAAACTTCGTTAAAAAGACCTGGTTAAATTCAAATTGGGAAAGTGAACTTTTCGTTAATTAAACTTTTGTCAAATTGAACTTCCGTCAATAAAACCTTTCGGTTATCTTGTCTTTTGTAAGAATATAGGTGAAATCTGTGTTTGTGTTTGGAATTAAAGTAGCAAACGTGCTACTCTACAATATTTGAGAGGGATTGCATCGAATGTTGTGCTTTAAGTGTTGTGTTGTGGATATGAATAGTGGTGTTATTTATTTCCTCGTGCATATGAATTTATGTCAAATCATTTATAATCAAAACTTGATGCTGTTTATTCTGGGTACGGTGTTTTGCATGGTGATTCGTCAAGATACGATGTTTTTAGAAAATATGTGTGGGTGTGTATGTCACTGTGCGTGTGCGGATTTTTCACAATTTTTTTATAAATCTTCAGGAAACAAGCAGGCGACCGACCCTATTCGACAGAAGACTTGTGACACCACACTGTTATGTCAAAAGTCTTCATTTTTCTGCTACCAATTACATTGGTTATAAGCTTCCGAAGGGAAGAAGTGCATCGTCTATTTTTTATTTTTATTATTTCAACCGTAGTATATAAAATCATTTCGTCCTCTTAAAAATTTCATATGTAAAATTATGTGGTTTTACTCCGATTCAATTATTTCTCTCGATTTCATTCGTATTTTCCAAAACAGACTGATCTGTGCTGATGAATACACGTCCCATTCGAATTCAAAAAAATCATTCTCATTCCAGATGGTATTCCATAGTGCAACTTTTCTTCTTTCATATGGAATAGGAGGTCATCGAGACAAGTATTTAAAAAAAAAAAAAATTTAATCCCTCGAGAAGTAAAGGAGTTATTGGCCAAAATGGGTTTCCACAAAAAATTGAATATCTCGCGAACCGCTCGGTCGATTTTGCCCATTCAAAATACCATTCGTCTATGTCATGAAAGCTACGAACATACCAAATTTCAAGTCAACAACAACCTTTTTTATCGAGTTATCGAGCGCACAACGCTTTTCGCAAAAAAACAGATTAACGGCAATATCTCTAGACTCAACAGCGATTGTTCGATATATTATGGGTGCTTCAGATGGAGGTCATTGGGACGAGTATTTCAAAAAAAAAAAAAATTTAATCCCTCGAATAGTTAAGGAGATATTTGCCAAAATGGATTTCTACAAAAAATTGAATATCTCGCGAACCGCTCGGTCGATTTTGCCCATTCAAAATACCATCCATCTATGTCATAAAAGCTACAAGCATACCAAATTTCAAATCGATATTAACATTTTTTATCGAGTTATCGCGCGCACAACGTTTTTCACAAAAAAACCGATTAACGGCAATATTCCTAGACTCAGCAGTGATTGGTCTATGTATTATGAATGATTCAGGTAGAGATCATCGAGACGAATATTTTGAAAAAAAAAAGTTGAAATCGGTGCATTTATTGAGGAGATATAGCTGAAAAACGAAATTTAAACAATTGGCAATATCTCAGGAACTACTGGACCGATTGAGCCCAAATGGAGCCACAAAGTGGGGCTTATTCATAGCTATCATCAGTAAAAATTTCAAGTTTTTATCTGCGAATTTCACCGTATTTATGTTAAAATTTCTAAAAATAAACCCCCAAAACAGCCATTCTGCACATACATACGTACAGACGCAACCTCAAAAACATCATTTTTTCACGTTTCATGACATTCTAGATCATTTGCAATGAAAATTAGAAAATCGAAAAATCGACCAAAAAAAGGAGTAAAGTCGATGCTAAAAATCTGAAATTTTGTGAAATAATTGGCATTGTTTGGGAGCAGATCTGGGCAAAATTTCAGCTCAATCGGTCCAGTAGTTTTTGAGATACAGCAATTTCTCGAAAATCGTTTTTGCTCAATATCTCAAAAAGTACGCGACTGAATTGAATTTTTTTGTCGTCAAAATATTCCTTATGATAATATCTATCAAATCAAGTCATAATATTTCTACCTAACCAGAAATAACTTGGTAGTAATCAGCACTTTTCATTTTTGTCATAAAATCGGTATAGACACGACAACCCACGAAAAAAATGAGATAGAAAGTTGAAATTAAGTACGATTGTAACTCTTATGTAGAGATGGATAATGTTTGTCGATTAATTGAAAACATCGATTTTTAATGCCCAAACATCGATGTTTCTGACCAAGTTAACAAAATTTTTCATTTTTGGTGGAATAATAACGTTGATTGATTGAGAATAAACAAAATAATAATTTATCCGCAATCAGAAGTCATTATTTTCTACAGCATGTATGTTATGAATGAGAAGTAAAGGAGTCTAGTCGTCTATTGTTTTTTCAAATTAAAATTTTTCAATTTTTTTTTAAATCGAAATTTTTAACAATTATTGCAGCTAACGTCCAGCCACAGAAAATATTCACTATTTTTTTTCCATTAATTAAAAACCCTGTTTTCAGATTCAAAATTTAGCTCTCCAGCAGCACTTATGATTGAAACGTAAGTTCCTCGGGTTATATTTTTTGAATATATATTTTTCAATAAAAACGAGAAGAATAAATTATTTTAAAAAGTTTGTTTTTTCTCCGGTGTAATGAGAAAAACATTGATTTTTTAAATAATCGATGTTTTTTTAAACATCGCCCATCCCTACTCTTATGGTACTTGTGGAGGTATTGTGGAAGGGTGAAATCGGACGTACAGTTTAGGAGATATTTAACTTTTGGTGAAAATATGTTTTGCTCAATATGTCGTAAAATGTCCTAAAAAACTACTGGTCGAATTGAAATTTTTTTTTTTCAAAATACTTGTATCGATATCCACTATCGAGATTAATCAAAATATGGATACCCGTTCATACAAAGTTTTCGAGATATTCGCGTGTTTCTAATTTTTTCATGCCAGAGTTGATTTAACTTCCACAATACACGTAGGTGGAAATAGAATTCAAAATTTTCGGTAATAGTTAATACCATTGAGTCACAATAGTGTATAAAATTTTGGACGGATCGATTCAATACATTTTGGCATAGAGCAATTTATTTGAAAATCGTTTTTGTCAAAAAATCTATTAAAAGGTTGAATACCTTTCTGTAGACACCCTGTAGCAAGCGGTTACGGCTGTATGCCTGTCACAAGGGCAGGTAATTGCTACGGAACCATTCGGAAGCTTACTACCAATGGAATTGACAGAAATAAAAAAAAACAAAAGGACTAATAACGCAACAAGTAACGGTCACACGCGTTCTGTCGCATAGGCTCGAACCCCTGCTTGTTTTTCATTTGCGCTTCGGAATTTTTTGCTTCAAATTTTTGTGTCAGGCTTTGTGTCAGGGATTGGATACGATGCTTTGCATTGCGGTTCGTTCGGTTTTTTTCCGTTTTTACTTCCGAATGGAAGCTTTGTAATCGTTCAAATTTAAAGTTCCAAATTTTTGTGTCAGTGTAACTAAATATGGTCCAAAAGTCCGAATATGCGATTTTTAGAAGGTGTCTGTATGTATGGATGCATGTCTGTATATATGTCTGTGGACTTTTTTCAATTTTTTTTTCGCAATTTTCTTCATACGTTAACAGTTTAACAGTTTTTTACAAGTTTTTTGAAGTTCAGGTTGTTCGAATTTTTTTCTTCAAGTTTTTTTTGTTACCAAGTTGTTTTGACCAAATTTTATTGATTAAATTTTTTTGACGAAGTTTTTTAGACATAAACCCCTTTTTTCATCACTCAACCGAAAACAACTTTTCCGACTCGTGTGATTGCATTCCTCGGCTTCGCCTCGATCTGCAACCCTCACACTCGTCAGAAAAGTGTATTGCGGCCTCGTGACAAAAATAGATTCGACGATTATTCTGACGCTATTCTTCAACCTACACTGACAGAAATAGTACATTTCGCGTCGAGTGCCACTGGGGTTTTCGACGAGTGCGAAGTGGCAAACTCGGGCTCGGGCTGCAAACTCATATTCGCCAGAATAGTATATTTCAGCACGTGTGGGGCAATTTCGTCTTTAACGTGTGTGGGGTTTACAGCATGAGCCGAAGGCGAGTGATGTAACCACACACGTTAAGGACGAAATTTCCCAACAAGTACTGAACAAAATTTTATGTCACGAAGCCTGAAACCGGCTGAATTAGACACGAGACGCAAAGCGTCGAGTGTGTAATCCAACCGGTTTCAGGCATGAGTGGCATAAAAGTTTTTTTCGGCTTAATGACGAAACATACTATTTCCATCAGTGTGACGGGTAAGAAGTGGGGCTTGCAGAGCGTACGTAAACTGTCCGTTTACACATAGGGTGATAAAATTTCTCCAATTGGAACATGCTATTTGCGGAATGTGAGGTTTACAGGTCGAGATGGAGGCGAATAGTACTTCGATATAATATTTCAAATTTACAGAATGGATAATGATTTTTCAGGGCTCTACAAATGATACAAAGTCCGAGGGTTCCCCTGAGCATCAACAGCAAATTACTTTTCATCGGAGAAATCTTGCAAAAATTTTAGCGTCAAGTCTGTGGAACCTCTCCCACATGAATATATTCCAATGGAATCCTCGAATTGTCGAAGACACAATGAAAAGAGTATTTTCCAATTTAACAACACCTGATCTACGTCCATACATTCGTAAGGAAACCATGTTGTTATGGTATCTCTTCCAAATTAAAAGAAATCGTTTGATGGTCGATTGAAGGTGTTTGATAGTGTAGTGGCCCTGCAGGCAATTAATTTTTATAGATTAAATTTACGTCCTTCATGGCTTTGAAGGATTCAAAATCAGCTACGTCCTCGTTGGGAACCCTGGGTTACGCCAAAAGCTGGTAGGGTTTGATAATTACCCTACCAAAGTGTAGAAATAATTTAATTCACATGAATAGGGTAAGCTACCCAATAGATGGACAGTGCCCTGTAGATGGACGAGCTACTTTTGGATAGGAAATTACGCAAAAAAATACTGAAATGTGAATTGTTGCTTTGAATTTTCACTAACTGTTGTGATTCTTAACCCCTGAGTGACGATTTTTTTTCGATCAATTTTTTTTTTCAATTGCTAAAAACAAACGTCCATCTACTGGGCGGCTTTCTTAGGCGTCCATCTACTGGGCAGTTTACCCTACCTTAAGGATAATCGGGCGAGGAGTAGAATATTAAAAAAATGCAGCCAATTTTATAAAGATTTTTTTACGCATTATTGAATCCATTTACACATCGTTTATAAAATTTGAGAAACTCCAAAAGCAGGCCAACAACAAAATAATATATTTCGTTACAAGTGCGGAAAAGAGTTTTTTGGCTCGTGGGAGGTTTATAGCACGAGCCGAAGGTGACGTAAGGAAAAATTGTCAAACGGAAAAATTGTCAAATGAGAATGCGAAAGGGGCGCCATCCGGTAGTGACAAGCACATTGAATTATACGATATCATAGGGGCAAAATGGATATTTTCTGACCTCATTCGATCTCTTCGGGGTAAAATGGGTCTTTTCTGAACTCCTACGATTTCATGGGGGCAAAATGGGTTTTTCGTGTACTCCTACGATTTCATGGGGGTAAAATGGGTATTTACTGACCACATACGATTTTGTTGGGGCAAAATGGGTATTCTGTGAACTTTTACAATTTCATTGGGGCAAAATGGGTATTCTGTGAACTTTTACGATTTCATTGGGGCAAAATGGGTATTCTGTAAACTTTCACGATTTCATTGGGGTAAAATGGGTATTTTCTGACCTCATACGATTTGTCAGGGGTAAAATGGGTATTTTCTGTACTCCTACGATTTCATGGGGGTAAAATGGGTATTTACTGACCACATACGATTTCATTGGGGCAAAATGGGTTTTTCTTGTATTCATACGATTTCATTAGGGTAAAATCGGTATTTTCTGACCTCATTCGATTTCTTAGGGATGAAATGGGTCTTTTCTGTACTCCTACGATTTCATGGGGGCTCCTACGATTTCAAATGGGTTTTTCGTGTACTCCTACGATTTCATGGGGGTAAAATGGGTATTTACTGACCACATACGATTTCATAGCGGTAGAATGGGTGTTTCGTGTACTTCTACGATTCCATAGCGTGATAACTTCATCCCTGTACTGTATACTGATCCGTTGCAACTGTGATTCATTCAGGAAATAACGGATTTAGGGGACATATCCTACCAGACAGTTAAGTCTTTTATACTTTTCTTTTAATAATATCATTATAAATCTTTTTTGTAATTTTCGTCTAGGTCATAATGCTTCTGTGTATTAATTATTCATTCTTTTCCAAGTCGACGATTATTATCGAAATTATTATATTCTGTTGTTATTATATGAATAATTTTAATAGAAAAACGTACGGTATTACAGGACTGCCAGGGAATGGTGTCGTTATTTTGGCGGTTCTACGGAGATGTTCCTCCATATTTCCACGCTTTTCCGTGGAATCATTTCTTTTTATTTCCTACNAGAAAAACGTACGGCATTACAGGACCGCCAGGGAATGGTGTCGTTATTTTGGCGGTTCTACGGAGATGTTCCTCCATATTTCCACGCTTTTCCGTGGAATCATTTCTTTTTATTTCCTACAAATAGGAACTAATACTTCGTATAAAAAATAACGGAGGGAATAGCAAATATTTACGTTTCAATTTATTCTGAGCTATTTCAACATAACTTAGAGGTACGTTTATTGAAACCATTTACACATATTTTGTAAATGCCTCACAAATTACAGGCAAAAGGTTGTATAACATTTCCTGAGGGAATTGCAAATTTCAACTTTTCAGATGATTTTCAGACATCTCAACCTATCTTTCGAATACAATTTCTTCAAAACTTTTTACGGAGAACTTCTGAACATTTTGGAAGATTTTTGAAAAAATAACTTATTAATCTGTGACGTGAGAGGTTTTCTACCTCCCTCACGCGGATTTCTCTCAAGATCTAACGTGACGCGACTAGAATAGGATTTGATTAGGTATTCTTCGTATAAAACAATCGAGCACCACTGTTACATTAATAATTGACAGTATATTGAATAGATAGGTAAAGTATAAAATCAACTGTTAAATGGGTTCGGTTTCGACGCGGATCTACTATAGATTTTTGGCTAGGAGAGGACGTCCGTCCATCTTCAACTCCTGCCGTACTCTGCCCTATTCCAGAGCTTCAAAGTCGTTGCTGACCGAAAATGCTAAATAAGTGTTCTCACGGTTTTTCTAACTAACACGGCCATATGTCCATCACTGACAATGGCTAAGACAATCAAACAGCTCCATTCTGAGAAGCTGGACTCAGGTGTCACCGTGAGACTGCTTATTGAGCATTTGGGACTTTTTCTATCTAGAAAATATTAATTGAATAAAATCGACGTGTGAATATCTCCACACGTCACAAATCTTATAACAATTTTCTTTCCGGATTGCGTATAAAACCCTATAGAAGTTACGTACATGATGATCGGATATTTGTATAGGAATATTTTCTATACGATTTATTTCTATACATAAATTTTGACGTAATTTTTTGTTTTCGTACGAAAGATATGTAAACGTTCTAGAGAAAAACGTAGAGAAATGGTGCATCTCCATATGAAATGTTTATTTACATGAGGCAGTGTGTCGTATAGGATCAAACCTATAGAAATCGTATAGAAATAATTTGTATTCAAAATATCCGTATCAAAATATCCGAGTATCATACGCGAAAATCCTATATAAATTCTATACGCAATTCATTTTACCCCCATGAAATCGTAAGAGGTCAGTAAATACCTATTTTACCCCAATGAAATCGTAAAAGTTCACAGAATACCCATTTTGCCCCAATGAAATCATATGTGGTCAGTCAATACCCATTTTACCCCCATGAAATCGTAAGAGGTCAGTAAATACCTATTTTACCCCAATGAAATCGTAAAAGTTCACAGAATACCCATTTTGCCCCAATGAAATCATATGTGGTCAGTCAATACCCATTTTACCCCCATGAAATCGTAAGAGGTCAGTAAATACCTATTTTACCCCAATGAAATCGTAAAAGTTCACAGAATACCCATTTTGCCCCAATGAAATCATATGTGGTCAGTCAATACCCATTTTACCCCCATGAAATCGTAGAAGTACAGAAAAGACCCATTTTATTACCCCTAACAAATCGTATGAGGTCAGCAAATACCCATTTAGCCCCTAATAAATCGTACGAGTTCACGAAAAACCCATTTTGCCCCCATGTAATCGCAGGAGTACAGAAAAGACCCATTTTACCTCTAAGAAACCGAATGAGGTCAGAAAATATCCATTTTGCCCCTATGATATCGTATAATTCAATGTGCTTGAGATATCTCCCTAATTAATTATCTTAAACTAAATATTATTTTATGTCGTTGGGCCCGAATCGCTTCGCTCGGTTAGATCGCGGTTTTCTCGGGCCCAACGACATAAAATACTGTATGCCACACGGCGATAAAAGCATTTTATGTCATAGGTGCCCAGAATCACGCGATTCTAACCTCGCTTCGCTCGGTAGAATCGCGGATTCTGGGCCCTATAACATAAAATAGTATATGAAACTCATGCGTAATGGTGTTTTTTGACTCGTGGGATTGTAATATACTAATCTGGCGAATGTGATTATAATCCTCGCCTTCGGCCGGCTCGGATTATAATCCACATTCGCCAGATAATACTTTTATCACCTGGTGGCATAATATACTATTGAATTTATCTATACAATTCTAACTTGAAAACTCTTCTTTACCCCAAAAACCATACTCCGTGGCATCACTACCGGATGGTGCCCCCTTCGCATTCTTATTTAACAATTTTTCCGTTTGACAAGTTTTCCTTACGTCCCGAAGGCGAAGCGTGCCTAAAAAATCACTTTTTCACACAGCGTGATGAAAATGATTTTTAAATTTGCTGGTGACTTAACCTGTGAGGTTAAATGGGTCATCGATAATTTGAGTATTTTTTCCATATTGCCGACTGGTCGATAATGTAGGAGAAATGCGCGAGTTATCAATGAACCCTTTAACCTCATGTATAAGCAGGAACTTTAAAAATCATTTTTGTTACTGCCCTGCTTCTGGGGTTTCTCAAATTTTGAAAACGGTGTCTAAATGGATTCAATTCGCGAACGCAACGTAGATGTGGGGGCCATCGAGTGGTCTCTCCACTAACTACTGTTGGGCGGCAACCAATGAGATCAAATAGAATCCAGTGATCTCATTGGTTGAGCCTCACCATTGGTTCCCTCCGAGGGATCTCATTGGTTACCGTCCAAGAGTAGTTAGTTTAGAGACCACTTGGTGGCTCCCATATCTACGTTACGATCGCGAATACTATGTGAAAAAATCTTAATAAAATTGGCTGCATATTTGGAATATCCTGCTCTCCACCCGTCTATCCTTAAGGGAAGACTATTATGACTTAAAAGTCGCGGGCTAATGGAGTGAGATTTACCGTACATTAAAGATCGGTTAAATACGTCGAGAAATGAATCATTAGCGCAAAAAATTGATTGTTTATTGCTCGTTTAACCCACAGACGCTTAAAATATTAAAAATAGTCAAGGGCCTCCAATTTTGGAGCTACAGAGGTTTTTTTCTTAAAATTTTTTGTAAAAATGTGTTAAATAACAATTATATACGAGTTGGTTGTTTAAAATTAGACTCCTACACAACTAATTCCTTGTTTTATGTAAAAAATTGCACTATTCACGTAAAATAGACAAAAAAATGTTCCTAAAAGAACCGAGATATTTTCAATATTTTGAGGACCGCTTTTCTGGCTATTTTACGTGAATGGAGCAGTTTTTTATACGAAAAAAATGGAATTAGCTGTATAGGAGTCAAATTTCAAAAATTAATTCGTAATTTTTATTTTACACATTGTTTTCAACGAATTTGAAAAAAAATCTGTACTTTTAGCATTTCAAGCGTTTGCATTTGCGGGGCAAACGGGCAATAGACAATTAATTTTTTTGCACTAATTGTTCATTTTTAGACTATATACTCAATCTTTAATGCATCAGAAATCTGACTCGAATAGCCCCCAACTTTTAAAACTCATAGTAGTCTCTCTTTAATAACTGATAGATTTATAATCTTTCGTCGTAAGAAAGAAGGGTGAAGTAAGAGTATAATTCCGTACATCTATTTGAGCGTCTACATTTAATAATTTAAAAAAGATATCTCGGTATAAACTTCGCCAATGTAATAAAGTGCAATCAACAAAAAAATCAAATTTTAGATGTTACATTGCATCGTTTCACAATAAACTTGATGATTATACATTGACTTAATCATTTTCAGAACAAATTAAAGGAAAATTGACGTCAATTACTGAGTACGGACGAATTCTGAATGATGAAATCGGACAAATCAATGGAGTAAAGTGAGTAAATCAAATTAACTCCATAACTTCCATTTATTATTATCAATAAAAAACTTTATTACACATTTATTCATAATCACGTTTTTTATGAATGTCTCTAGGTCTCTAGTAGTGCGAATGACAAACGACTTGCTGAAAGACGTGGAAAGAGCTCTCCTGTGTCCTGACGACAACTTTCAATCACAAACTGACATTACATTAATTGCCAAATCACAGAAAAATCAAGAAATTATTCAGATTCTTGGGAAAATGCTCTCGTGTTTCGATACAGTCATTCAAATATTACAGGACATGACTTAAATCGGAGTTCAATAAACCAAATGTGATAGAATCACGTCAATTAGTCACTATATTAATTATTTCTCATTTCCTGCAATGAAAGGTTTCATTCCATTTAGTTTCATTCATAGTTCGTAATTATTTTTACCTTGGAAAAACTTTGTAGTTGATTAGCAATACTCAAAAAACAATTTCTTATACTTTTTCAAATCACAATTTTCAAGAATGAGTCACTGAAATTAACATGGATTGTTGGATTATCTCAGTACTTAACAATGTTTGGAAGAGTCGTCACAAAAACTCTTCTCTAATTAAAAATTTGATATTCGACATAACTTATTCCACCACTTGAGTACTGAATTATTTATACAATTGACTGTAGAATTCAGCTGTGTGTTCCCCATCCCATCTCCCTTTCAATTTGCTCCATATTAATCGATCCCTGAATGGCCTCACAGTTGGGATTGAAAACAGAGTAAGCACTGACCTCTCCTTTTTTCTTGGGGCCCGACCTCGTATTTTTCCATATAAATACCAAAGCCGAGAGTATAAAGTAAACAGCGCCGAACTCAAATTGCAGTGCTATGACGTAGAGTGTTGCCCATAGTAAGAAATAAATGAAATAAATCACTTGTGTAATTGTTGAATTTCTCTGTGGTGATACGTCGATGCTCTCCTCCGAAGTGATACTCTCCAGGTCATCTCTGTCCTGTAACCTTTTGATTCTTAACGTTAAGGTACTTAGTCAGGCTTAAATTATGAAAAACGATGGATTGATTCAACAATATTGATTTTGTAATTGTGGAAGTGTGTTTAGTTATCTCCCATGTTTATGTATCTCAATAATGAGCGATGCTAGAACAAGAATTTTTACTACTGTAAAAAAAATTGTGCATATTTTTCAATAGTACTGTTGATTTCGTAGATAGCACAGTGAAACGAATTTGAATCCAAATTTTGTCTGGAAATAGGACTGACTGTTAAATTCTATATTTGTTATATCCTTTCGTACTGAACTCAACTGCGTTTGCGACATTTTCAGATCCCACACTTTTCATCCAAGTATTATTGCTTCACCGATACTATTCGTTTAATAAAACTTTTCATCGAAAATCTTCATTTTACATTTCAACCTTTGATTTTTGTACTTTTTATTTTTATACATCCATGTGACTAGAACTACTGCTTAAGATTCATAATTGTTTATATCATGAGCCAAATCTGACAACCAATCAAAATGCAATTGCCATTCATTTAAGAATAACTCAATTTGCTTTCAGTGAGAATTGGCTAGAAAATTCCATTGAAATTCTATAGGAATTCCATAGGGTTTTCATAGCATTTCAATTGGAATTCGATTGAAAAATTCTACTAGTTTTTTGCACTGATTTTATTCCATATTTGATAGGAAAAAGTCAATATATTTTGAATTTCCGTTTGAATTTTTCACTTGAGATTTTTTCTAGTAGAATTGGGCTCAAATTTTCCAAGTTTTTTCCGCTGGATTTCGTTGTCTTGCATCACAGAATCCGAGTGGAACAAACTTGATGCCCACGCATTCTTATAGGAAAGTCTCAAGAGAAAAATTCAAACAGAAATTCGAAATCTATTGACTTTTTCTTATTGAATATCCAATATAATTAGCGTAAAAAACAAATAGAATTTTTCAATAGAATTCCAATAGAATTCCAATAGAAATCCTATAGAAACCCCATAGAATTCCTATGGAATTTCAATAGAATTTTCTAGTGAATTCGCTAGGTTTTCTATTGAATTTTTTCATACGTGCTATATTTTCAAGTATTTTCATTTACTGCTGAGTTTGTCAACATTATAATAATTGGATGTCTAGCACGGTGGATCAAGTGTTATTATATTATGAGACCTAGAAATCTTGGACCAGAATACATCAGGAATTTTCATAGCACATCAGATTCTCTGTGAAGAGCAAAAATTTCAAAACCGGTGAGAGCAAAAGTCATCAAAAATAGTTATCATACATAAGTTGAAATCTAATTTGGTAATCAATTTTTTAAAATGAATTCTATCATTCGATTTTTTGTTTTATGAAATACCTCAAGTTTTTTGGACAACAAAGGCACAGGCTGTTCCTGCCAAGACAAAACCCCTTTTATAGAATTTTTCGCCTTTTCCACCATCGCTTCTCGACGTTTTCTCGTTCTATAAGCCTCAAGCTTTGCCTCCATTTAATTATTAATTGCTTGGTGTTTACCGTTCTAATCACGAGATTGTTTCTAAACAGTTGACAAAATTACGTGGACACATTGTCACGGTAATAACATCGATGCTTCACTTCACTCTGAGAACCAGTGGAAACACTTGTCAACTTTTGACGTCACGGGATTGTCAGTGGGTAAGGGTTACGATCGGTAGATGTCTCTGAGAGCTATTTCTGGGAATTTTCTTATCGATCGGAAATTTAATTTGTAATTCAAGTCGGATAGATCGGAATATTTCAGAATAATATAATAGTTTTTCTTTCTGACTCTCGGAAAATTTTAATAGCAATACGCCAAGCGCTTCAAAACTATCGGGTATTTCCCGATAGTTTCGTTGCAAACAAATAAAGGTGTCAAGTTTCGTAGGTTAAAATTATCGGATTATTATATTGGATTAATTATGATATTCATCGGACTATTTTTTCGAATCAGATTTGGGTCAGAGTCCAGTGGACATCATCAGGCGGTGAATTAAGGAAGATTTGAACAAATTATGTTAATAGGATAACCCGATTTCCGCAGAAAAAAATGAAGAGCTACTGCAAAATATTCAAAAGCTAGGAGGAAATATCCGAAATAAAACTATCGGGTAGCCTCAAATACTGCGCTCTGATTGGTCGAAATCCGATTCTGAAAAATAATCAGATCTAAAAAAATTTCTACAATTTTAGCACGCAAGGGACATTTGGTTGGGTGATTCTCATGGGTGCTGATAGAAATTCAATGATAATAATACAATTTAAACATTAAATAATTTGGTCGGTAAGCGACAGGC